AGAAGAAGAAGAAGAAGAAGAAGAAGAAGAAGAAGAAGAAGAAGAAGAAGAAGAAGAAGAAGAAGAAGAAGAAGAAGAAGAAGGGGGGGATGAGTGGAACTCCAGCATTGTCTTGCTGTTTCCTGACTGCAGACACAATGTAAGCAGCAGCCTCACACTCCTACTGCTAAGCTTTCTCACTGTCCCCTCAAAATGTGAAGCAAAATAAATTTTCTTTCAAGTTGCTTTTGTCATGTATTTTATTAATGATTAGAAAAGTGGGCTGGAGAGATGGCTCAGAGGTTAAGAATACTCGCTGTTCTTCCAAAAATCCTGAGTTCAATTCCCAACAACCACATGGTGGCTCATAACCATCTACAGTAAGATCTGGTGTGCAGGCAGAATATTGTATAAAGAATAAATAAATCTTAAAAAAAAATAAAAGCCTTGGGTGGCTGAATGAAAAGAGAGAAAAAAAAAGTAACACATAACAACTGTTAATTTGTAAACATTATCATATACGTATATATATATGTACATATATACATGTATGTATATCAAAACACTATCATATACCTTTACACAGATTAAGTATTATCCTCACCTACATCAAGGAAACTTTTCTTTGCAACAGATACCATTACAGAAAAGCACAGAGTTGTAGAATACAGTCCCGGGGGACACATGTACAATATACCTGCACCTCAGGTTCAGGGGTCATTGCTGAAGAAGGGACAGAAAGATTGTGGCGTTTGCTATGACACTGTGCCTCCTAGAAATGCCAGAAGATTCAGTAATTTTTAAAACATTGTAAATAAAATACAAGGATGTTAGGTAACTAGTAAATGATGGAGTTAAGAGTACTTGCTACTCTTTGAGAGGACATGATTTGGTTTGCAGAACCTGTATGGCAGCTCACAACTGTCTATAACTCCAGTTCCAGAGGATCCAATATCCTCTTGAACTTCATAGGAACAACCTCACACACTGTTAATAGGCATACATGCAGATACAACATTCATATAAAAAAATAAGCACTTTTAAAAATAAAATAGTGAATATAGAAATATAAGAAGAAAAATCTTTTCTCACATCAAACTCAATTTCTCATCTCAAAAAAAATTATTTGGGCTGGAGAGATGGTTCAATACTTATGAATACTTATTACTCTTACAGAGGTTCCAAGATTGGTTCCCAACACCAATGTTTGATGGTTCACAACTGCCTCACCTCAGCTCCAGGGACTACAATGCCCTCTTCTGGCCACTTCATGTACCTACTCTCTTGTATACATCGGAATGCACAGCAGACACATAATTAAAAATAACTTGCTATGTTTTTGCCTCCCTGAATGTCTACATACCATGTGTGTGTGTATACCTGGTATGAAGTACCAAAGAGGGCTTTGGATCCCCTTGGGATTGGAATTAGACAGCTTTAAACTGCATTCTGGAGGCTGGGAATTGAATTTGGGTCCTGTGGAGAACAGCCAGTGCTCTTAATCACAGAGGCATCTCTCCAGCTCCCAAAATAATTAAAAATAAAAATAAAAAATTACTGGCTGGCTGATATAGCTTTATGGTAGAGCATTTTCCTAGTAGGAATGGGAAGTTGGGTTGGATCTTCAGCACAGAGTAAGAAAGAAGGGATAGAGTAAGAGGAAAAAGTAGTAAATTGTTTGTATTTTTTGCATTGCATGAACACTTTTTAATAAAGTATTGCTAAGTTTAAAGTTTCAAGGTCTCAAAACAACAAAATACACTGAAAAGAGGTATTAAAACAAGGCCATTCCCCATTTTATCCAGTATCTTCTCCCCACTCCCCCACCCCTCACCGCATTTATAAGTTTTCCTTCCTTAGCCCTCTCACTTTTTCTGCCTCATTTGCTATCCTGTGCGCAATCAATGCAACTGTCAGTCTTTCTCTTGCTTTTTTCACTTTCCTTTCCTGGTTACTAATATCCTCTTCAGTGACCAGAAATTGTTTGCAAAGGATCTGTGGGATATTTGCTTCTGGAATCATCTTCGCCAAATGTGAAGTTGACTCAAGGGTGGGCATGAGCCTGGGGTCAATGCTGTTGGTTTGAGTCCCTGAAACAGATGCATCTGTGTCTCTAGGTGTAAGGTCTTGCAGAGCTTTGGCAAGGTCTGAAGTGCTCAAGAGTTCTCCTGCACTGCTGCAGGCCTGGAGTCCTTGCAGTCTCTTCTGCCAGCAGGCTTGTTCAGGCTTTTCCAAGGTCTCCTCCCACTGATGGTATCTTACCTCATTGCCCAGATGCGATGTGATTCTAGTGACTGGCCTCTTGAATGTGTAACTGGACATCCTCAAAGGGATTGAGGTGCTTAAACAAGGCTTTGGCTTTGATGGATTCTCACAGTCACGTTGCTTCCTCTGTGAAGTCTTGCCCATCTGACTCTGTACGTAACCCTATAAACATAAGTCATGAAATTGGATCAATGTGATGGGGGCTGTCTTCTTTTATTATTTATGTGGCACTTACCAATCAGGAATGCTGCTGTTAATGCCCACCTTCCCCACCTCCCTCTGGTGACAGATCTGACCTATATTAAGGAACATCAAACAGACCTAAGTTAAGCACAAAAAGCTCAAAGTCAAACTCTCCCACCACTTTGCAGAACTCTCTCCTTTGCTTGAGTGTTCTTTATTTGTTTTTTGTTTTTTTTCTGGCTCTACTGCCAACTGCTTGAGTCCTCTCATTCCCTGTCATGATACAGAGTCCATAGTCGTCCTCTAAGTCCCTAATGTTGCCATTCTTCTGTGTTGACTATGACTTTGTTATGAACCATCTCATTTTCTACCTACATTAACACTTAAATCAACAGTGAAATTAGGTTACAAGAGCCCGAGGTTGAGAACGTGTGCAACAGAACAGTGTCTCCTCGACACAATAGGGCCATTGCAATCAAAACCAAAGCATCCCTAATTACTCGCACAAAACCTGTACAAGAGCCAACATTACAGCACAGATATGGGAGAAGCTCATGGCAGCTGATGGCTGCTGAGGGAGGAACAGTGAGTTTTCTTCAGAGATGTGGCCCCTGGTGGGATGCTCCAGTGGCTGGCCCTGCATCCATGCACATACTGGAAAAACCAATAACTTTCAGTAGCTTAAAAAAGGACGCAAAATTAGGAGGGAAAAATATGATGAGAGTATTTGGGTAAACCTGAAGATTAAAAAGAAAAAAATGGATAAATACTTTTTGAGACAAAGTTTCTCTATGTAGCCCTAGCCTGGATGTCCTGGACTCTCCTTGTAGACCAGGCTGGCTTACACAGATCTGCCTGGCTCTGCCTCCCTGAGTCCTGGGATTACAGGCGTGTGTCACCATTTCTTGCTAATAATTTCATACATGTATGAAACTTTCAAAGAATAAATATTTATTTAAAAAATCAATAGTAAAACTACCAACAATATCACTCTTGAATAATCACTACAAGACTTGAGACATTTATCAATCCAAATAGTCATGTTCTTAGTAAGTAATTTAGAAAATCTATTCATATGGGAGCAGAAAGAAAAGAAGGAAAATTTTTGATTTCTAGTGGGTTTTGCTCCATTTTATGTAACAGATAGCACTATTAACTATTTCTCAAGGTCAAAGTTGACTCCTCACTACTTATTTTCACATTATTTCCCCTTTTTATTTACGTATTTTTACCAACATACATGAACTACACAAAGAGGCTTCACTGTATTCATAAATAATGCACTTTGATTATAGTTACTACTGCTATTGTTCTGTTACAGTTTTCTTCCTCCTTTTCCTATTTCCCTTCTACATTCCTCATGTTTCCCTTTTTTCATGTCATACTCTTTCATTTAAAACACACTTTCTATGTCAAGGTGGCTCTGAAGGAAAGGGCTCTTGTTGCTGAACCTGATAACCAGAGCTTGACCAGCAGAACCCACATGACCTGTCCTAACCTCCACATACTTGTCATGGCATATCTAGACCTGCCTTCTACCAAAAAGAATACAAATGTCAAAATTATTTAAAATATGTAGTTTCCACATGAGAGAAAATATGGCATTTATCTTTTCTTTTGCATGCATTAAGTGTAGCATGTGCTTATGTGGCTGTGTAATGGACTTCCACTTTATTTATTAAGAGTCTCTCATTGAACCTGGAGGTCACCAATTCTGGGAAGTCTAACTAGAAAGCTTGCTCCTGAGAAAGAGAGAGAGACAAATTCTATTGTCTATTTATATATTGCATCTTCTTGATCCATTCATATGATGATGGCTGTTTGGGCTGATACTACAATTTGACTTCTGTGTAAAGTGTTCTTGCAAAATAACATATAAAGTACAAGCATTTACAGATCAATATGATGATATGGTACATATATACACTGCATTATGATTAAACCAAGATAAGATAATTAGCATTTTAATCATTTTAACATTTGCCACTTCCTTGTGCTGGGAAGCTTCAAATTTCTTTCCTCGTTCTTCATGGTATGTATGAAATATTGTGAACTACAGTCACTCGCTGTGTTACAAAATGTAAGAACTGATTCTTCCAGTGTAATTTTGGTACCCATGATCCAAGCTCCCTCCCTAGTCCACATCAATATTTAATTCTATGATCTGTGATCTCAAAAATTCCACTGGTATTAATGAAGAATTCTTTTCCATTTAGCTTATCCGGACAACTGCCATCATCACCATGCCACAACAGTTGCCGGCATTATATACCTGTTGGAAGAAAAATCACACAACAATAGTAGCACTATTTTGGTGCTACTAATATAAGACACTAACACTAACATGGAGAGTTATAATGGCTAGGGATTTTTGCTGGAGGTTGCTCTAATGCTAATTACTAGCCCTGAAGATCTGGTTACTGCCCGCTGGGTACACCCATCCTTGTTTGTGTAAACCTGCCTAAGACATACTAACTGGTTGATTAGACAGCCTGTACCTGGGCAGGGCAGAATGAGGTGGGCATGGCTAAGGTTCCTGGGATTTTGAGAAGAAGAGAGGAAGAAGGTGGCCACCATGGATTAGCATGGAGAAAAACAAACAAACAAACAAAAAACCATGAACATGGAACTGGAGAACGGGCTCCAATGATGGTGTGGAAAGGCCCAGATAAAGAATAAAAGCAAGTACTGTGGAATTATGGAGAAAAGTGTTCCAGATGAGGAGGATTAAGGTGGATGGCATTGTTTGGGGGCTGGGAGGTAGATGGTAAGGCTATTGAGACAGAGTAAGTGAAATATCTGCTCAGCTCAAGGTAAATGAGGCAATTACAAATGTAACAGTTGTCTATGTTTTATTATTTGTGATATCAGGTTATATAATTCTGCTGTGATAATCACAGGGCAAACAATAAAAAATATATAGCCCAACACCTTTCCTTTTTAACTTACTACAACACACTTTCCTTTCTTTCTATGTGTTAGTTTAGGGACTCATTGAATTTTCCTTAGGCCTGTTTGATACTTTCTCCATTTGTACTTTTTCTCATTTCCCTATTTAGATCCACTTCTTGTTGCAGTGATAAAATATCTTGAAAAAAGAGATGGGAAAAGGGGCCTATTAGGCTCACAATTCCAGATTATAGTTCACCGCTGTGAAGAAGTCAAGGCAGCTATTTACACCCACAGCCCAGAGCGAAGGAAAAAACCCTCACATACTTACACACTCAAGTTCTCTTAAGTCCTCCCATCTTCAACATCTCTTTTTCTAATGAATCCTTCCTTCAGCATTTATTCATGTTTACATCTCTCTGAGCTATATAAAAATCCCTTGCCTACTCTATCCCTTCCTCTTAGCAGAAAGATACATCTGTATTACGTCTGCTCACAAAGGGACACCTACATTATATTTTTCTGTAACATCTTACCTCCACCCAAGTGCCTTGGAGTACTTGGAACTTTCATAGGCTGTCATCATTCTGTGGCTCCTTCCCTTGAAACAGTCACAATGACCCTTTGTTATTAGAGCCCAAAGGAACATTTCACATAATCTTTAAGTGTAAAGCATTTGAGATGTGAATCTTATTTTACAATTGTGGGGGGGAGAGGGGGTATTTTGTGTTTCTTTCTCTCTCTTCCTCTCTTTCTTTCTTTCTTTTTTTGGAGATAGTTTCTGGCTCCACATAATTCTTATTGGCCTTCAACTTGCTGTATAGTCCAGGCTGGCCTCAAACTCACAATCCTGTCTCAGCCTTAGCCTCTCAAATAAATTATCACACCTAGAATAATCACAAATAACATGTGAATACAGAGTATGCACATATGAAAAAATTCAACTCATACATTGATATGTGCTATTAACAGAAAATACACATGTAATTTCTAAAATATATTTTTTTAAAAATGTAAATAACTATAAAAACAATAATGGCTGTATATTTAAAAACTTGGTAAGGTTTTTATATTTTCAGCACAAACAAGTAAGTTTTGAGATCGGCATATTTGACATGATTTCAATATTTTACAATGCACGCACATATCAAAACATCACATGGGCACATGGTACCTCTTATGGCTTGAATCTAAACTGTATAGGCTTATATAGGCTAATATTTTGAATTCTCAGTCCCTAGCTTATGGCAGTGTTTTGAAGGTGCGGAGCCTTTAGCAGGAGGGCTCTGGCTAGAAGAAGGAAATCAGTGGGGACAGGTGATGTGAACATTATAACCATCTCTGGGTACAGATTAGCTGTCTCTGCATCCTTGTCTGCCCTCACACATACAACAAACTGTCTCATAACAATCTAAAAGCCATGAGTCCTCCCAGAATAGACTAACTTTCTGAAACTGTAGCTCAATAAATTTTTCCTGCCTTAAATCATTTTTATATTTTAACCAGTGATGCTAAAGTAACTAATAAATTGTTCTATAAATATGTACAATTTGTTGTTCTAATAGCTAAAAACAAATTTAATTTACATAAAAAGAATATTAATTCTATGTCACTGCATATAAAATATATAACTTTTATGTCTATATAATGCTTCAGGTTTTTAGTAAATTTTACCACTCATGTCTTTTTAAATTTTTGAAAAATAAGTATATTTGTGAAGTGCAATGTGATGTTTTGAAGTATTCTCTGTCATTGTTTTAACTCTTAGAGCTGTTTTTTTAAAGATTTATTTATTATCTATACAGTGTTCTACCTGCATGTACACCTGCACGCCAGAAAAGGGCATTAGATCTTGTTATAGACGGTTATGAGCCACCATGTGGTTGCTGGGAATTGAACTCAGGATCTTTGGAAGATCAGCCAGTGCTCTTACCTCTAAGCCATCTCTCCAGCCCACTCCTACATGGTCCATCAGCTTTGAAGGTAATTCTCCCTTTGGTGGCATGAAAGATAACAGGGTACAAAAACAAGGACAGAAACTGAGATTTTCTAACAGAAAGAAAATAATCTGCTTTTATTAGACAGAAAATAGATGAAACAAATGAGAAGGGAAGAAAGAGAGACAAAGAGAGAGTAGACAGATGTTGAGAAATAAATAACAGAGGAAGATAAAATGAAAACCAAAGTGTAAATGGAAGGGGTAGAAAGAAGACAGAGACTGAGGAGAAGATGGAGGAGAATGATGAGGAGGGAGGAGAGAAAGAGGTGGAGGAAGAGGAGGGACATTCAGATGAACAGACACAGAAAAACAGTACAATCTCAAGGTAGCTACAGATCATATTCTTTTGATTTAAAAATTATCATAAAATTTCCAAAACATAAAATAAGCCCTCTGTCCCATCCTTCAGTGCCTGGCTCAGTGGTATTAGTATCTTCACACTGTTGTGCAACCATCATCACCATCCTTCTGGAGAACTGTCTCATTTACCAAACAAAAACTCTTTTCCTACTATACACTAACTCTTTATCCTTCTTCCCAGGCTAGGGCATCCACTATTCTATCTTCTACGTGTACAGGTTTTACTATACTAGAGATGGCTATATATAGAAACAGACAGCATTCATCTTTTATGAGTAGCATACTTCACTCAACAAAATGTTTCATTCGTATTGTACTATATGTCAAAATTTCCATTTTTAAGACTGATTCCTATTCTAGCCACAGTTAATTTAACAACGTAAAGGGCAAAGTTGCTGGCAACTCACTGCCTAACTGATGCCTGCACAGGTCACTACTGAAAGCAGATGATCGCTTATAGTACATCTCCTACCACACAGGTGACTGCAGTAGGCATGGAAACAGGAATAGAAATCCATCTGTGCCTGGGAACTGAGGTTGTTATTCTGGCTCCAGTCAGTTCTGTTGCTCGCACTCAGCATTGTGGTCCTTGTTTCCATTCCTGGGGATAGATTAAATTCAAAATAAAACCATTTCGACCAAGAGAACAGAGAATGTGCAACACACACACACACACACACTATATATATATATATATATTGAGGCAATGACCTCCAACACAGCCAAAGATTAGTCTGTCCTGCATAAAAACCCTGTTTTATCACATTATCATTTATTGGGCTTGAACTATATAGCTCAGTGAGTATGGGTGCTTGCCTCCAAGCCTGGCAACTTAAGTTTGATCCCTGGGACCCACATGGTGGAAGAAGAGAAGTGACTCCTGAGGAATGTCCTCTGACCTCTGCATGCAGACATACACAATAAAGAAAACTCATTTTCAAATTAGCATATATTAATTACACAAAGAAATGGGTTTATGACATTTCACTACTATATTTTCTCCTAGATTCCATGCATAACAGAAAGCACACAATATTTTTCTTTGTGAGACTGGTTTACTTCCTTTAATATGATGATTTAGTGTAATAATCCCTCCTTACCCCCCCCCTTTTTTTCAAATAAAGGACCTATTCTTTATAGTTAGATAAAATTCCACTGTATATATTTACCACATTTTATCCATTCATCTACCAATGGGACATAGGCAAGTTGCACCTTAGTTCCTGTGAAAAGTGAAATAACAAACATGAGTATGCAAATATGTCTATAGCAAGCTAATGTAGAGTCACCGTGGAGGTAAAACCTCAGTTAAGAAAATGCCTCCATCAGATCGGCCTGGAGACAAGTGTGACAAGTATGTGGGGTAATTTAACACTCATGACTTAGGAGAATCCACACCACTGTGGGCAGTGCTGCCCCAGGCTGGAAATCGTAGGTTGTATGAGAAAGTAAGGTGAACAACCTATGGGACTAACACAATAAGCAGTGTTCCTCCACATTTCCTGGGCAGAAGCTCTGCCCAGACGTCTTTCCATGATGGACATGGACTGTGATCAGGATGTCCTTTCTTCCTCAAGTGGCTTTTTTTGTTGTTGTTGTTGTTCTATCCTAGCAGTAGAAAGTAACCTAGAACATTGACTGATTCTTTGTAGTATATGTCCAATAGTATAGCAGGAGCTTTTATCTCTCATTTAGAATGCCTTTCATCAAGTAAACAAACAAACAAAAACAAAACAAACCAAAAACCACCACCAACAAAAAACATGTTGTTAAAGACACAGTGTTAAGAAAGTCTTATGCACTGTCTATGATAATGTAAAATAGTGTGTCCAGCATGGGAATCAGTGAGGAGGTTCTTCAAAACATTAGCATTACAACTATCACATGCTCTTTATAGTAATGTTCTTTATAGTATATATATACTATATAGTATAATATAGCAATGCTCTTTATCCCAGGAGGCCCTATCCCATGTTCATGCTAACAGTGTTCTGTTCATCGCTGCAATTATTTTACCACAACCCATTACATAAATATGTGTGAAACTTTCAAGACATAATTAAAGCCATGCACACGCCTGTAATCCCAGCACTCGGGGATCAGAGGCAGGTGAATCTCTGTGAGTTAAGGCTAGCCTGGTCTACAAAGTGAGTCCAGGACAGCCAAGGCTACACAAAGAAACCCTGTCTGGAAAAACCAACCAACCAACCAACCAACCAACCAACCAACCAACCAAATAAATAAACCATAATTAAAATATATAAATAAGGAATGTTGGCTTCCAAGAAGCAAGCTGCTGAGAAATGTGTACAATGCAGTTTTGGTAGGCTGCATAATCATGAAGAACAGACCGAAGAAATGTTACTGCTGATGTTGTAAGTGTGCTTCCCAGTTTGCTTAATGACAATGTACACTGTTGGACTTTGGGTTAGGTCAGCCAGGGAGACCAGAAATGTTAGACCAGAAATGTTACTGGTGTTACCACTCCCTCTGACAGTGTGAGCCTGGGAGAATAGTCTAAAAATGAGGTGGACTAAAATCTCATGCAACAGCCAATTTTATTGGGAGCATCAGACAATTTATATCCTGTGGGTATCCTGAGGGTTAAGCAAGGTCCTATGAGCAAAGTTCACATGAGTTCAAGCTGTACACAGTCACAAGGACAAGGTGTGTTCACACGAGTTTAGGCTGTACAGCAATGGTTCTCAACCTTTTCTTAATGCTGCTGTGACCCTTTGGTAAAGTTCCTCATGTTGTGGTGACCCCCAAACATAAAATTATTTTCGTTGCTACTTCATGACTATACTTTTGCCACTGTTATGAATCATAATGAAAATATCTGTGTTTTCTGATGATCTTGGGACACACCCCTGTGAAAAAGTCATGATTCCGCCCCCTGGGGGGGGGGGGGCGTGACCCACAAGTTAAGAACCACTGCTGTATACAGTCATGAGGACTACCCTTGCTTGGAAACACCATCTGAATAGCAAAATAAGCTTAAGTAAAGCCATGAATGCACACTCCAAGATCAATCTTGCCTTTGGAAGGCTGAGGTCACCGGACTCTTGTCCTGTTCTTTTAAAGTTTCCTCACAAGCAATCAGAATTCTCCTTAGACTGCTTCATTTCATGGTCCGTGTTCTGACAAGATACAACGAGGGTTTTCTCCAGTAGCATCCCTGGGGATGATCCGTAGGACCATAGGGCTCACACGCTTCACACAACATATGCTCATCCATATCCCTATCTCTGCATCTATCTAGTCTCTCAAATTCCTCGAGACAGTAGCAATCCTACCTCACACCCGACAAAACCATATGCCCACCCCTGAAACCAATCTCCATCTACAGTCAGTTCAATTCACTCATGGCTTTGTTTCTGCCCATCCTCCCGCCCCGGAACGAGTCCCCACAACAGCCACTTCCTCGGAACTATCTGCCCCGTTATTTACCTAACCTGGTCCTCTAAGCTTGGCTCTTCCAGGTTCAGTCACGGTTTGTTCCTCCAACAGTGCCCCGCCGCCGGGGCCGCCGCTGGTCTCCCTGGCTGACCTAACCCAAAGTCCAACTGTGTACATTGTCATTAAGCACACTTACAATCTCGAGGGGTCCAAAGATCCCAAACCTGCCCACTAACCCAGCCCTGAAACCCGGACAAACTTCTAGGCGGAAGTGAGTTGGGAAGCGGCCGGCACAGAGGCGGAAGTGGAAAGCGCAGGGCGGAACTAAAGGAGGAGCCCGGCTTAGGTAGCTGGTGAGGCTTCTCTTTGGCGGCGGGGAGGAGCCTTGCAGTGCATGCACCTTCGGGGCTTTTGGTCAGCCGCGGACATGCTCTGCCCAGAGTCCCTGGATTCCTGCTTCCTCCCGGAGGCCTCGGGATGAAAGCCGGAGCTCTGGCACCTCACAGCTCTAGGGATGCTTTTTGTTCTCTCAGAGGCGTGACGGGCAGAGCGACTGTCATCCAGAGGGAGGCTCAGAACGCTGGTCTGTATTCTGCCATGCAAGGAGGAAGCACAGCAAATCAGCAGTGGTGCTGAGTGTGAAAATCCTTCAGCTTTGTGAAGTTCAGCCCCATCATTTTTAGGCCCGCTAAGCGACAAGGCATGTTTAGCCCACATCGAGTGACCAGAAGATACCTTTCCAGTCAAGTTGAGGAATTCTATAGACACACCATTTCAGCTTCTGCCTGCCCTTTTGAGCTCATGCCTGCATAGAGGTCCGGTAATTACGTTTTCCCAGTCTCTTATTACATGTTAAATCTGTATATACACGTGGAAGAAGGGTGATGAAAGTTTTGTTTTTGTCACAATTTTAGTTCCTTCTGTAAAAGGCCTCAGCATCAGTTTTTGTGTCTTCTTTTTTTCCAGACCAGAAAAACATCACTCAAACTCTGATTTGCGTTGAAACCTCAGTGTTGTGTTGAAAATGCCTCAGAACCCACCTGCACTCATTCAGTGATGAATTTCTTGTAACCAGGTAAGTACGATGTGGAATGTGAAGCAATAGAGTTCCAGCTGACCCTGCGGCATGGAACTTCTGTAGGGCTTTTCTTTTGCTTGTAACGGGTTGTAATTCTACTACAGATGCGACCACTTAATGAGAGTTAGCTCAGAAAGCTGTATTTTTTGTAATGTTTGATGGGTTATTTTCAAGGGATGGATACAGAAGTGCAATGAGTAAATGTAACTAAGTGTAAATTACACAAAATAAGCATTTATTAACCACGCATACGAATAAGCATATAAATGCAGAATTTTCTTGTGTGCCCAGTATCAAATTTTTTGGGATTTTATAGTAAATACAAATATATAAGATAATGTACATGTATTTTTAGTACTTACAAGTCTTCCCAGTAAATGCTAGAACTAGCCAGTGGTATTCTTCAAGCCCATTCTATGTGACTTCTGAAAACTTGTATGTCTTCATGAAGTTTTAGAATAAAGGGGCATGTATGAAAAAGATGTTTTGACTTTTTTAGGAACAGCAACCTAAAGTTTGAAAACTTAAAGATTGAAAACATGTGAAAGAATATCAAAGATACAAGGCTGTCCTTCCTACCTTGCCTCCTAAAAGGAATTTAACATTTCTGAAATAGCAGTATATTTTCTATAATACAGAAGATATTTATTAGCTATATTGTTTGATTTCTTTTTCAGTGCTGGGAATCAAACACTTGTCATGGACAAGCTAGGCAAGTGCTCTTCCGCTGAGCCACATCCCTACTTTTGCCATTTTTTATTTTAGCTTTCATATAATCATATTAAGGGAATATTTAATTATTATGTAATTGATAGTAATTATTATACAAGTTAGGATGATCTAGACCCTCATCTTATTCAAGGCTAAAGAATTTTCTGGGACAAAGAACATTGAGGATTCAGAACAGGCCTAGACAGTCTAGGACAGTTGGTCATTTTCATGAGCTGGGCCCTGGGTTTGATGCCTGAGGCCCAAAACAGACTTTGTTCTGTATCCGTGGAATGCACATTCTAACAGAAAAGAGAGTAAAGATGAGAGTACTGAGGACTGAATCCAAGAGGAGAGCAGAACCATTTGGAAAGTAGTAGTAATTGGTTTGTAAGCTAACAGTGTCTGGTATCTCAAATTACTATAAACAGTGGCTTCAGATGGCATGGAAACATAAAAATTCTCTTGAGGTTCTGGAGCTCAGACTTCCCAAGTGCCTCAGGCAGCTTTCCTTCAAGCTTTTAAAAAGGCCTTTCCCATGTTAGACAAACTGTCCACATCCCTTGACTCCTGGTTCTTTCCTGCACACACACACACACCACACACACACACACACAATAGGCTCTCATTCAATAGAACCCTGGGTGGCTTCCAACTCTTGGATCCTTCTAGGCCCCTCCCTCATGGGTGCTTAAAGGCATACACCATTATACTTGGCCATCTTTCTCCACTTTTAAAACCAACACGGGGATACAGTTGTTTGCACAGTGAACCAAGGAAAAGGTCCCCTTGTCTTTTGAGCTACAGCAACTATAGCTGTCCCAGGAGGAGGGTCCAAGCCTGCAATCAATGAGGGAGTTGGAGTGGAGGATTGAGCCTCATTTTCCCTAGTAAATTCTTCAGGTTTTGTTGTTGGTGGTGGTGGTGTTTATTTCCTCCAAGCCTTATTCCAACTTTTTTATTTCTTTCTGCCAAAGCTTAAGTTTTTTAACATTCATAGCCTGAATTGGAAGGTATCTCTTAGAATAGTACTTAGCTGCTTCTTCCTCCACCTCTGCAATCTCATCAGAATCCAAGTCATCCTCAAAGTCTTCTTCTAACAAGAAATTATCATTAGAAAGAACATATACCTCTTCTGGAGGAGCCAATGGTTTAATTTCATTTTGTCCTGAAGCCTCCCATCTTTCCTTCCTCTTTCTCGCTAACCCTAAAAGTTTCACTTTCTCAGTCCTGTGCCACATATACAGACTATCTCTAATTAAATTCCATACAAAAAAACATGAGACTACTGCCTTGTCCCATTTTTTTTATCTCAAATTTTACTCACCACATCCTTTTCTCTTTATGATTCCAGCTCGGGAACACCTGCAGTGTTCGTCACTGCTTCCCTATATCTCAGTTCGGGCACCAGACTGCTGGAGCCTGCGGGCAGAGTCAAACATTTCTTGAGTGGGGAGTGAGGATTGAAAGGAAATTTAAAAACCAATACACTACACGTGGGATCTGTTTGAGAGGGCTACCAGTAAAAACTGTCGCTGGTGTATTCCGTAATCCCTTTTCATAGTCAGAGCAAAGCACTTCAGTACAATGAAGGGGTTCATGGAGAAGTCAAACTTGTTTACCTCAACCACCTGTTTGTGTGAGCCTCACAAACTAACAAAAGATGAACTTGGCAAAACATCCTGCTTATCCCTAACTCTAGGTGAAGGCCAGGGTGAAAACATGTTTTTCCACTGAGAGATCGATAACAAAGCAGTTCTTCACATGTATGTGTTTCATTTATGATGTATTTATTATGTCTTTTTAATTTAATTAAATTTTGTTTTTATGTGTACTACTGTGTAGGTGAGAGGACAACTTGCAAAGTTGGTTCTCCTACTATATGAGCTTTGGTTTTTTTAATTTATTTTGTGTGTGAGTGTTATGTGCCATAGAGTGTGGTAAGAGGACAGCTTGCCAGTTGTCGTTTTCTACCATGTGGGTCCCTACGGTCAAGAAAAGTTGTGAGGCTTGAGAGAAGGTGCCTTTACCTCCTAAGCTCTCTCCCCAGATACATTTGTGATTATTTTAATTATTTGCTATCATAAGTACTGTCAGTTATCTTACCCTAGTCTGTAGTATTTGAATCATTGACATAATTCTTAGAAATAGGTTTGACAGGATAAATACTAAAAGTTTATGGTCTGTATTCTAATATTGGCAGATTCATTTCATAAGAGCTATACCCAGCTGTGTCTGAGAAAGCTTTTCCCTATGTCCTCAGGAAAGGATTCCGTAGTTTTTCTCATGGAGCACATGGGAGATACTGTCAGGTGACAGTATTTTCTGCCTATGATTTAGGGGTATTTTTCCAGAAATGGAAGTGGTAAATAGTAAATGTTACCACATGTGGAATAAGTAGAACAAGAGGAAAGGAGACATCATGAGAAATATTGGCTAGTATAGGGAAGCAGGCTGAACAGTGACTAAAATGAAAATATGCTTAGGTCATAAGACTATTTCACCACAGAGGATGCTACCTTGCTTGAATAGCAAGATGGATAACTTGAAGGATAAAGATGTATGGGACCATCAAGAGTGAGTGGGTCGCCAAAAACTGTCCAACATTGGTGATTGTTCACTAGTACTGGAAACTGGAACTCAGTGCACTGCTTGCAGGCAGCTCCATAAGTCAAAGAATGTCTCATCCACAGCTTAGCTTATCTGTTCCTTTTCAGGCAGCCAGGCTGGTCTGTCTCCTTAGCAGTACTTACTGCTTATATAATCTTGGATGAGACAGGGGTCTTATGCATCTGGTCAATTTTACAGATGTCTGGGGTCTCCTGAGTTGTTCTTTCTATGACTTAACGCACCTCCTTTTAGAATTTCCAGAGTCTCAATAAGCCTCCTTTAGAACTTCATGAGTCCTAACAAACCAAAACAGAAAAGGCTACACTCCACCAATAAAGTATTCCCCAAGTTGTGTGATCCTTTCTAGCAAATTAATCAAACCCAAGAAGGGATCATGAGAGCTCCAGTTTTCAGCCACTGGCTCAAGAACATAGGGAAGTTTGCCGAGTGACAACTGGCATCTAAAGTTGGGACATGGGGACACTCTGGGGACTGATCCTGCATCCTTTGAGTATTTAAGCTTGATGGTATATTCAAGCAGATCATTCCAGAAATGAATTGTATTAATGATTTCTCAGTGGTGAGGACTTCAGAATTGCTTGGTTATTTGAAGTGAGGAGAATTTTTATTAATGGTGATGTGAAGGCAGAAGGAAAACCAACTCCCCCTTGTCCTCCTGCCCCCAGCCAACTTGCCAAGTAGAAAAAGGCTCAGCATAGGAAACAAAATGTGCATTTTGAAGAAGGCCAAGATAGACAAGCTGAAGAAGGCTCATCTTCATGTTCCTGGGAAAGAACATGGCTGTGCAGACTTCCTATCTTTTGTTGATTCCAGAGTTCTGCCTTGGTGTCTTTGGAAGTCAGAAGTGTAGCTGGCCCCTCCACTGCCCTGTGTTCAGAAACTCTGATGTTGGAGTCAAGATGGCAGCAACTGCCATTCCTCTAATATATGGTAAGACACTGAGTCCTAGCAGTCCTTAGAGTAAAATTCAAAGGCCCCCAAGCCCACAGTTCAGAAAGGGATCGAGACTGGGTAGCCACTGAGGAGGCTCAGGCGTAAGAAGGTAAGGCAAGGGTGGAGCCCCTTGCTCCTTGGATGTGATAGCCAGCTCTTAGGACAAGATGTAGCTATTGGGTATTGGATGTGCCATCTTCGTGTTGACTTTGAAAATTTTAGTCTCTTTTGAATTATAGAGTTAATTGTTCCTGGAATAAATGGTGATGACTACAGAACATCAATTTCCTCCTCTTTGGACATGTTCTCTTCCTCATAGGCAGTCAGACCCAGGTGCCATGTATCTTAGCTAAGCTGAAACAAGGTTGTGCAATGTTTATGGAAGCTGGAAGCTATCTGTGCAGGAGTGGAGGGATGTGATATGTGTGTGTGTGTGTCTGTCTGTCTGTCTGTGTGTGAGTGCATATGCAGATGCATGCTGTAGGTACTGGCAGTTTTATATAGTCGGTCTCATAAACCTCAACATGCTAGGATATCCTAGATTCTCATGATTTATTTCTTCCCCAGTTCAATCATCTCTGTATCCAGTGTCTCCTGAGAAAGGACACATGGGCAAAGAAGGGCTAACCAATGAGTTCTTAACAAGCTTGTTACAGGTGAGTAGATTTTAATTTTTTCCAAGTCATTCTTTCTATAAATCTGTTACAATGCAGACTTACATAGTTCAACCAGCATCCCCAGGCATCTAGCAAGGGCTAGGAGACACCCCAGAAAATGTGTCTTATATAACATGCACTGCTTTGTCAAAGCTCCTTCCAGAGTCTCTAAGGATATCAAAATTCCCTAAAAGTTTGTGGTGAGGTCAAGTAAAGGTTTGACTCTGTCCTACTTTCTGGCGGTTTATCACAGCCATGGGGGAATTATTAATGTACCAATTGTTTATCCTCTGTTGTAGATTGTCCCAGGCCTGTGCTCAGCCCCAGGAAATGAGATTTCAGGAGCAAATAGTCAGAGTGGAAAAAGGAAGGGACTTTGGGAAGTTGGGTATTATACAGGAGAGGAGCCAGAACACCAAGGCCAGAAGCCAAGGCAGATAGCATTCAACCTGCCTACCTGTACTATGCTCTGAGTCACCATCTGTGGGTCTACCATCTTGGCCTCCTTCTCTTTGATGGGGCCCTTGGCTAAGCTGTGATGTATAAATAATTTAGGAGTTGGTGTCCTTTGAAGATGTGACTGTGCAGTTCACACAGGAGGAGTGGGATTTGTTGGATCCTTTACAAAGAACTCTGTATAGGACAGTAATGCTGGAAAACTGGAAGAACCTGGCCTCACTCGGTAAGCCACCATCAGCTGATTTGTCCACATTTGTTCAGGTTATTTATTGATATAAAACAAAACAATGAATCATTTTAAAATATACAAGTGAGAGGCTTTTAGTGTGCTCACCATAGTATATACAGCAGTGTAACTTCAGAGTATTTCATTACTTCTGCTGTGGTTTGGTTTAGCCTCCCAAAGGTTTATGTGCTAGACACTTAGTTCACTCTGAAAGGCAATGGTAAATTAGTGAAAACTTCTAATGGTGGGGCATGTTGGAAGGTGTCAGCATCAAGAGCCCATCTCAGAAAAGATTCATGCTGTTTCTCGGGCATCAGTCAGGTCTCATGGGACCAAGTTAATTCTCTTCAGAATGGGTTGTTGTATAGATAGGCAACCCACATGCTTAGTCATATTTCTATACTCCTGGTCAGCTTTCTACTTTTCTTCCGTATTAAACTTTTAAAAAAACAAAAACATTTGTCGTTTTTAATGATGAGTACATGTGTGGCAGGTGTATTTGATTGCCAGTGCCTACAGGGGCCAGATGTATCACATCCTTCTGGTGCTGGAATTCTAGGCAGTTGTAAACTGCTAGGTGTAAGTGCTGCAAATTGAACCTGAATCCTCTCTAAGAGCAGAATACGCTCGTAATCACTCCACCCTCTCTTTATCCCTTCTCTGCCATTTTGGGACAAAACCAGGGGTCCATCATCAAATGCAAGTGCCATGCTGTTTGGACTTTCTGGACATCGAAATCTTGAGCCAAAGTAAACCTATTTTCCTTAAAAAGTGCTTAGCCACAACATTTTGTTACAGCATAAGAAAGGGGACTAACCTGAAGACACCTGATAAACCAGTATCAGATGTAAGGGGAGGAGGTTCTCCCTTATCAGTGGACTTGGAAAGGGGCAGGGAGGAGATAAGGGTGAGAGGGTGGGGTTGGGAGGGAAAGAGGGAGTGGGATACAGCAGGGATAAAAGCTAACAAACTGTAACTAATATTAAAAAAAATAAAAATTAAAAAGAAAGGGGACTAACTCTATATTTTTATGTGTGGGTGTTCTTTGAAAGTTTCATACATGTATTCAGTGTATATTGACAATGTCCATCCATGACTACTTCCCTCCACCTTTCCTAAATCACACCGCCTTAAGTCCCTTTCAACTTTGTCATCTTTTCTGCTTCTTAGTTTTTAATAATCTGCTTCTTGTTATTAATAATCCCCTGAATCTAAGTAGTACTGCCTATATGCATATGGATGTGTGGCCGTCCACTCCAGCATGAGCAAGCCAATTAATTCCCAGTAACTCATCCAGTAGGGATAGGGCCTTGGGGACCTTAGCTGTGCCATAATTTTGACTGACTTGTTCTTGTATAGATAATCATATCTGTTATGAATTGACACATGCAATGACCATGTAATACCTAGAAGTCAGCATTTCATCATCACCCCCTCAATCTGCCAGGTCCTACATTCTTTCTGGCCCCTCATCCACTTGAGTTCCATGAGCTTTGGATGATATGATGCTGATATAGATGACCCATTCCTTGCATCTTAACTAGTTGTGATTCTCTTCATTAATTACTGCCCAAGGAAGAAAGAAGCTTCTCTGAACAAAGTTGAGAAAAGAACAGATCTGTGCATATAGACGTAAATATTTAGAGTACAATTTGACAGCACAGCCTTTTGGCAAAAGAAAAATATGTTCCTCCCAAGGATCTTATTTTCCAGTCACGGGCCTTTGACCAGGTTTACAGTGTCAAACGTGAAACAGGCCAATAAGAAAGCAGTTGGTTAACCCCATAATCATGCCACTCACTGCTGCACAATGTGGGCATTTTTTTTATGCCATCAAAGCAGTATTATAGCATTCAGGGTCTAGCACTGAGTTAAACTGCTGATGTCTTTTCTCCCTCAGCACCGTTTGGCACTACCCAACCTAGTCACCAGGGAAAGAGGATCCTGATCATTTTTTATTATTATGTTAATTTTTATTTTTTCTTTATAATTTATTTATTATATATCCCAATTGAATCCCCCTCCCTCAACTCCCCCAGTTCTACCCTCCCTCCTTCTTTCTCTCATCCCCTTCCCCTAGTCCAGTGAAAGGGGGAGTTCTCCACTTTTGCCATCTGCTCATAGCTTGTTAAGTCTCATCAGACTGTTTGGATCCTCTTCCTCCATGGCCTGGCAAGGCTGCATTATCAGGGACAAGTGATCAGAGAGCAGTCAACTGAGTTCATAATAGAGGCAGCCCCTGAAGACTGAGCTGCCAGTCGGCCGTATCTGAGCAGGGGGGGGCTAGGTCCTCTCCATGCATGGTCTTCCATTGGTGCATCAATTTCTGCAGGCAAATGGATGGAACTAGAAGAGATCATCCTGAGTGAGATAACCCAGAAGGACAGGCATGATATACCCTTGCTAATAAGCAGATATTAGCCATATGATATAGGACAGCCATCTACAGACCTAAAGAAGCTAAACACTAAGAAGGACCCTAGGGTGGATGTTTAAATCCCATTCAGAATGGCAAACAGGATGGACACCAGAAGAAGTGGAAGAGAGGAAACAGGGTGGGAACCTACAATAGAGGGTCCTCTGAAAGGATCCACCCAACAGGGGATCAAAGCAGATGCTGAGACTCATAGCCAAACTTTGGACAGAGTGCAGGGGGTGTTATAGAGGAAGAGAGGGGTGGGATTAGAGGGACGTACTGGGGACAGGAGCCCCACAAGGAGACCAACAAAACTAAAAGATCTGAGCCCCAGGGGGTCCTGCAGAGACTGATCCTGATTATTTTAAAGTTGACTTTTTTACACTGTGCATCCAAAATGAGTGGAATAGGGTCTTACTGTCTAATTATGGTGGGTGGTTAAACAGTGGCAATAGCCTCTGGGCCTCTTGACCAATAACTTGTAGGGAGATATTTCATGCCTGACAATAAGATTTCCACCTATGCAATGTACTTCTCTTCAAATTCTTTATATGTGTGTGTGTATGTGTGTGTATATGTGTGTGTATATATATATATATATATATATATGTATATATATGTGTGTGTGTGTGTATAAAGGTTGCAAACAAAATGGATTTCCATAAGGCTTGTCTTAGTTATTATTCTGTCACTATGAAGAGGCACTGTGACCAAGGCAACTCATAAAAGAAAGCATTTGAGTACTTGCTTACAGTCTCAGAGGATTAGTCCTTGGCTGTCATGGTGCATAGTATGACAGCAGGTAGGCAGGCAGGCAGGCAAGACTATGGAGTAGTAAGCTGAGAACTTACATCATCTGCAATATTGAGGCAGAGAGTGAGAGACTGTGATTGGTGTGGGCATTTGAAACCTAAAAGTCTACCCTTAGTGACAGAACGCTTCTATCAAGGCCACACTTCTCGATCCTTCCTAAACAGTGCTACCAACTGGGAACCAAGTATTTAAGTTTATAGGGGTCACTCTCACTCAAACCACCAGAAGGATCCTTAATAGATCCTAATTTGTCTAATCCACTCTTTACCATCTCCTCTCTCCAATCACCCTATCTCTACTTAATTAAACCATTAACCTTGAATGTATCTCCCATGTCCTTTCATGCTACCTGTGTCCAACTAGTTCTTATAATTGAGGGTTCCCTCCCACATTGGGTTGGAAGATTATAGGTTTTCATATAGCTTTTTGTTATTGTTGTTGCTTGTTTGTTTGTTTTGAGACATTATCCCTATATAAAAGGCTAGCCTGGAACTCTTTATGAAGACCATGTTGGCTTCAAACTTGCAAAGATCTTATTCCTTTAATAAATATACATATATATGTTGTAAGAAGTTATTTAATTTTACTACTGGTTTATCTTCTAGTAATGCTGCTGTTAATCCTCAGCAGCTGTATAACCAAATCACCACACAGAGACTGGGTTTTTAGTTAACCTAGAACACAATGCTGGGCAATATTTACTCCCTTCTAAGTCTCCAAGCCCTCAGTTTCCTAACATTTAGATTTCCCACATTTTACTTGCTTTTTGTGAAATCTTAGGTCTGGTTCATGCTCCATGTCCTCCAAGCTCTCTCCTCCAGCTCTGCTCTCCCTGCTCTCCTCTCGCCCCTTCTCCTCCCACCCTTTCCTGCTCTCTAGCTCCTCCCCTCTTTCCTGTCCTCTGGCTCCTCCCATTGCACAACATTGTATCTAGTTGCTTTATTTTGTCCTGTTTACACAAGAGCTAAGACAGGATGCTTATAATGAGTATCACAATGCAATATCTGGATTGAAACCAGAGAGTTGGGGGTGGGGAAATCAGCATTTGAATTAACAAGGGTAAGGGGTATACATTTTAAAAGAACATTATACCAACACTTTCCCTTTTAAGTCCAATAACAGGCTCCTTTTCTTTCAATACAATAATAATTACAAAATTATGAAAACTGTTAGGTAAAATCTACATGTGCAATGTCTAGTCCATGTGTATTTAGCACATGGAGAGGGTATCATAGGAGAAAGTGTCTGATTATCCTATTTATCTTGATAAGTTTAAAGTTCTATACCTAAATTAACTTTTATCCTTATTGGTATTACCTATATAAAAAGATTTCTTAACTTCTAAACAACTTAAGCTTAAATGTGGTACTGTAACTATTTGGTCTTCAACACCATCAGAGACTTGAGAAGGAATAAAATTAGTTATGAGAGTAAATAGGAAGTGCATGTTAGCAGCTTCCAAAAAATAAAAAATTGACAGAGACAGTTTGCTGCTGAACAGTCACTCATAACTCTCTATAACGTTGGAGTATCATCTTCAGCCTTCTGGCTCAGAATATTTTGACAGACATATACGTGAAGCAGGAACTATTTAGGACTTGCTTATCCTGTCTTGGCAGAGTTCGGCAGTCAACTTGTTCTGCATTTAAGCTTGCCCATTTTAGGCAGAATTTGTCTGTTGTGAAGCAAGGGTATTTTCTTTACCCGAGTGGCTTGTTTGCCACATTTGAAGCCATCTCCATATGGAGGTTCTTCAGTGCTCATTATCTTCTTTCAGGGGTGCTGCCAGGAAATGACTTGTCTCATTGTCAAAGAATCTTTAAAATAATAAGAACATTTTAAATGCCATATTCTATAGGTCTCTGAAGTTTTTGAAGACTACCAATCTTGATGTAATCGCTTTGTATACAAAATCATATCTATCTGTTAAACCTATGATGTATACTCCTGTGATAAATTAGACTAGTGATTGACATGACTGAGTTGAATAACTAACAATTAACTTGCATACCTAATATCCTAACCACCTTTTAATAGTAGTTTAAAAGTATTGGAAGTAACCTTGACTTTCTATCAATATACTAAAGCTTATACCAATGTATTAAAAATACTTATTTTTGCATCAATATACAAAATTCTATACCAGAGTTAAAATTAACCTTATTTGGGAATAACAAATAAAACCTTAAGTTGAGTAGATTCAATAATCTACCCTTTTTCTATTTTGATAAAATATCCCTGTATATTCCTTGTTTTACTTTGAATAAGACCATTATTATTAATGGTCTTAATAATCTCCCAATGACAATAAAATTTCATAGCCATAGCAAACAACCAAAACATACCCAACCCCCTTTAAAGGAAATTGGACACCGTTCTCATGAGTTTCTTCTAGCTGACATTGTGGACATGTAGAAATCCTGTAGGAGGCCCAAATAAAAATGGTTAATTAAGCAAGCAATAACATTTGTGTTCCAATAACATTTGAATGTTGAGAAATTTCAGGCTTAATAAAAGTCCTTTTTGGAACAGTCAAAAATGGTGGACCAGTTAAAATTAGTAGCTTTCTTCAAAATTCTTTTGGGAGCAGGCTTTGATGAGAAACAGCAGTTGAAGAAGTTGAGGCAGGTATAAGTAGAATGCTGGAACATGCAAGATGCTGGAACAGATGTGTCAATGTCTCAGCATGCTGAAGAAAGATTCTGTTAGGTTTGATCCAGCATCTCTGGTGTCCAGTTCTTTTGTTCTGCAAACATATAATTTCTCACAAGCATTATAGAGTTCTAAAATTATAAATGTATGAGATGTACAGGATGAAACTAAACTGTAAGCCAATTTTATCTATGCAAATTAAAAGGTTAGCATAATACATTTTGAGGATATTATAGCCAAGGATTTATTGGCCAAGTATTGTTGAAGTTTTTGGCTGGAGACACACATTTTTATGTCTCAGTCAGTTTTAGAGTTGTTCCCATGTAAAGGGATTAGCAATATAAGTTACCATTATTACTGAACATACAATTATTATCATCAAAACAAGGTTAGATAGATTAAAATATCTTTTCAGGCTCTTGCGTGCCTGTTGTAGTAGGCCAAGTTGCTACCTATTTCCCTAGAGAAGCCTCCCATTAGAGAGACAAGCTGGTTGCCTTGAGCAATAGAAAATGCATATTTTAAGTAAACGTTACATAAGCTCCTTTTTAATTTAGAATATAAGCATACCATAGGTATCTTGTACCTGTTTTGAGGTTTAGCCCTAGATTTTTATATATGTTGTAGCTATTTGTCCTATCCCCTTGTTTATATAGAATGGGCAGTTATGCCTTTATAGCCAAACTTTATTTAAACTCCCTCTTACCTTTAGCATTTAAGCATATCCTAGGCATCTTGTACCTGGGCTTTACATTGATAAGCATACCCTAGGCATCTTGTACCTGGGTTTTACATTGTTTGTGGCTATTTTTTGGCTTGTCCCTTATTTATGCAGACTGGACAGTTATGCCTTTATAGCCAAACTTTATATAAACTCTCTTAACTCAGATTTAGTCAGGGGTGGAGTGTTATTTAGATTTTGCTTCCATAAATAAACATTAAATCTACTAATAGATTTCATTTTTTTAAGTTTGTTTTTCCAGAAAGGTAATTAATTTCTATAAGTTTCACTTGCTTTTTTTTGGGGGGGGATGGGGGTGGGATGACGAGTTATGAGATCCCCTTGTCACCATTTTCATTGTCAGTTTTATAAACCTTAAGCACTTTTTTTTAATAAATCTTTTATTTTTTTATTAATTACACTTTATTCATTTTGTATCCCCCCATGAGCCCCTCCCTCCTCCCCTGCCGATCCCACCCTCCCTCCCCTTTCTGCATGCATGCCACTCCCCAAGTCCACTGATAGGGGAGGTCCTCCTCTCCTTCTTTCTGATCTTAGTCTATCAGTTCTCATCAAAAGTGGCTGCATTGTCCTCTACTGTGGCCTGGTAAGGCTGCTCCCCCCTTTTATGTCCTCAAATGTGAACAGGGAATTTGAAGCAAAGTGGTAAAAAGAGATGTGGCCCATTTTCATGGAACTTTCTGTCTAATGTCTTCCTTGAGAAATGATTATCTCTCTCTTTCCCTGACCTGATATTCTCCTTTTAAGGCCCTTTAAATGTATATTTGAACTTAAGCATGTATATCTGGGATTATTAATAACACATTACTTTGAATCTTGAGATAGAGATAGTTAAATTTTTGTTCCTTATGAAAGTTACTGTGTTCATTAGAATTTAGAAAAATTATACCACTGCTGCTATAGTCATTTTTTTTTTCATCTTCAAAAATTTGGCTTCAGGTTTGTGGAGTTGAGTATCCCTTGAATAATTTTCCTAACATTACATGCATTTGCTCCATAAATAGGGCATCACCTTGATAAACCAAATCTGATATCCCATTTGGAACAAGAAGACAGGGATATGAGAGAGGACAGAAGAATTATTCCAGGCATCTGTCCAGGTAAGCACAAGTGGGCCTGGGCTGTCCAAGGAGGTGCCTATGGCCTGGGAAGCTGGGGTGGAAAGTATTCTTTTCCACTGACAAAGATGTTCATGAACATTTCACATAAATTTCCACTGTTTTTATTCTTCTCCCAAGTCTGTGTTCATCATTTCATATACTTTCACCTGTGAAGAAAAAACAAAGATGCAGTTTTTTGCATTTTCAATTTTAAGCCACAGGCTGGAAAGATGTCTAAAAGGCTAAGAGCATGTACTGCTCTTGCAGAGGAGCAGAGTTCAGTTCCCAGCAACCACACAGGAAGACTCACACCTTCCTATAACTCCAGCTTCAGCAGAACCCAATCATTCTGTTTTCAATACATTTGCACACATAAATACAACTAAAAATAAGAAAGAAATGGTAAATTTTAAGTCATAATTTCCATTCTTGATTATTTATCTTTTGTCTGTGTCTTAGCAATCTCAACATATAACTAGAATGTATTGTCTTTAACTCCTCAAATTTCCAGAACCAACTGCCCCTTCCTGTTAGTCTTTATCAAGTATTCTAATCTCTCAGAGTCTGTATGAACCTCACCATTTTTCCTTTTCTTCTCTTCACATAATTTTTTTTCAATTTGTTTCAGATTTGGAGACTGTACTTAAAGACAAATGGCTAACTCCTAAGAAGCATATTTTTAGAAAAGAACATGCTAATGGTGGAAAAACAGTGAAACTAGAGGTAACGAGTTTTGGTTTTTCTATGTTAAAACAGCTAGAAAACCCAGAGAATCATTATGAAGAGTGTCACTGAAACTTGAGGAAATGATATCTCTGGGAAGACTCTGTGAAACTATATTTTAGAGAAAAGATTAAGCCAGTTTTAAACATATTTCTTCACTAAGAGCTCTCACAAGTTTGTATTCTATTAAGTCTGAATCGAGTGGTGGGTGTTTGAACATACGTGGTCCTAAGTTTATCCAAAAAAAAACTTTCTTGAATAAGGATTTGTAAACAAATGTCTGTGCCTTTAAACATCCTCAGGCTAAGCAGAAGTCTTATAAGCTCCAAAAAGATTCAAAGTGTTTTTTATAAGGTCACAGATTTTAGGGGGAGAGGCATTCTCATTACAGCATGATAAATTAATAATATGAATTCATATTTTTAACTAATTTTATTTATGTAATAACTAACAGAAAAGAGGTCATCATGGAATGAAAATCAATGAATGCAATCAATGTTTTAAAGTCTTCAGCACGAAATCTAACCTTACTCAGCACAAGAGAATTCATACTGGAGAAAAACCCTACGATTGTAGTCAGTGTGGAAAATCCTTCCGCAGCAAATCTTACCTTACCGTTCACAGAAGAATCCATAATGGGGAGAAACCCTTTGAATGCAGTCACTGTGGGAAAGCGTTCAGTGATCCCTCATCCCTCAGACTTCATGTAAGAATTCACACTGGAGAAAAGCCCTATGAATGCAACCAGTGTTTTCATGTCTTTCGTACCAGTTGTAACCTCAAAAGTCATAAGAGAATTCACACGGAGGCTGAAAATCACCATGAGTGTACTCAGTGTGGAAAGGCCTTCAGTACAAGGTCCTCGCTCACTGGACATAATAGCATTCATACTGGAGAAAAACCATTCGAGTGCCAGGATTGTGGGAAAACCTTCAGGAAGAGCTCATATCTAGCCCAGCACTTAAGAACTCACACTGGAGAGAAGCCCTATGAATGTAATGAGTGTGGGAAGTCGTTCAGCAGTAGCTTTTCTCTAACTGTACACAAGAGAATACATACTGGAGAGAAACCATATGAATGCAGTCACTGTGGAAAAGCTTTTAATAATCTCTCAGCTGTAAAGAAGCACTTAATGACTCATACTAGGCAAAAGCCCTATAGATGTAACCATTGTGGAAAATCTTTCACCAGTAACTCTTACCTCTCCGTGCACAAAAGAATACATAACAGGTGGATATGAATTATGGTGAGAAATTACTAAGGGAATTTCTGTCAGAAAGCTTTGTTGATCCTAAGATAACTTGAGAGAAGTTACATCAGGTGTATACATTGTTATTGCTTTATAATATATATCCCCTCCCAAATTTTGTGGCTTCAAACAAATACCTCACATTTTGTAGGTCAGAAATATGAGGGCACCTTTAGTTTGGTAGTTGCCCCCCCCCCAGGATTTTCCATGAACTTATATTGAAGACATCAACCAGAGCTACAATCTTCTAAAGTTGTTTTTGAAGGAACCACTTCTAGATGGCTCACTCACATGCATAGGAATTTTCTGCAGGTTATTGACAGGAGACCTTCAGTGCCTCACCATATCTTTATAATACCCCCAAGTAAGTCTTCTAAGAGAAACCAATTAAAAAATGAATTCTTGCCTCCAGAAGGTATAGTTTCACTTCTTTCTTGTACTAGTCAATTACAGACCAGCTTTGAACAGTGTGGGAGAAAAACTACAGAATATCTGAGAACCAGGAGACAGCTCTCTGAGAACCATCTGATAAACTTGCCATGAAATTAATGAAGAGATCTTTGTCTCTTCAGTAGACCTTTGTCCTTTTGATCATCAGTAAATTGTTAAATCTCTCTACAAAGACACCTGTGTGATAAAGCTTTTTAGTTCACTTTTTGTAATATGCCCCAAAGATGATGTTGGGAAAACCCTTTTGAGGAGAATAGTGAGCATATAGTAAGGGCCTTTAGTGGTATCAGACTTTTCAGTCTTTCTTGTGGGCAATTACACGACTGGGGAATATAAGAAATTCAGGAAACTGTATAGCAAAGGGTTCACACTACTGACCACAAGTAGTGAGGTGCTCTGCAGTGATAACAGGAAACCTTTGACTTTTCCTTTCTTGAAGAGGTATGAGAATATGCTTTCTGAAAAGCACCCTTGAGTGACATAGGCATTGGCAAGCCTTCAAGGAATTCCTTCAAGGAATCCTCTGATGTAGGAAAAAGTTGACAGTGATTCCTCCCAAGCATATAAGCTGGAGGGACATTTTAGAAAAGTGAAATAATACATGTCAGATTGCTTTAGCATCAGGTCTCTGTTGAATAATTGTGTAATAATTTATGGTGGAAATGAAATGGGTGAATATGGGGTACCTCTACCAGTAGGCAGTTTCTGTAGGTTCAGTTACCACATTATATTCAATTTTTGTTTTATAAGCATGTATGTTTATATGCATAGCACACACCACATCCCAAGAAACAGCCCTTAACGGCTCCAATTTTTTACTGCAGTGTATGTGCAGCTTCCAAAGAGTTGGTTGGCACAAACTAGTAATCCTAGTAACTTGGGAGGCTGGCAATGTAGATTGTGAATTTTATGCCAGCCTGACTGGCTGGCATAGTAGTTCTGTCAGAGTATGGGACTTTTTGACATTGATCCTTTTTTTTTTTCTTTCTGTCCTGCAAGTATCCAGTGTCCGTCGCTTTGTCCTGTGTAGAGCAACAAGATGGCTCAGTGGGTGAAGGTGCTTGCTGCCAAACCTGATCACCTCAGTTCAGTCCCCAGAACCCATACAATGAGTAGAGAATGGACCGCCAGTTGTCCTCTGACATCACACACATGTCAGCCCAACAACAACAACAACAAAATTGTTTTAATCTGTAAGTGGTATTAAAATAATATGCCAGTTTTTTACAAGGTGCCATGTAATTTGGATGCTGAAGGATTTATTTTCTCTTTTCACACTTTCACTTGTCAAGTAGCTGTAAGATCTGGAGTGGGAAGAATTGTTTTGTCAAACAGTAATGACATAAACAGTGGAACAGTAACAGTGATTTAGTTTCCTCAGAAACCTCTGACCAGCATGATTTGCTGTTTGCATTTGAGTTGATGTTAAGTTCTAGCTAAAATGATAAACGTATTTGTCAAATGATATCCATAATTCTTATGAGAGTAATTTATGTTCTCTTACATGTTGATATAGAATGTATACACATTAACATAATCTTTTTTACTGATATGTACAAATTGTTTTATTTTAAAATAATTTGTGGTAGAGCCTTGTGATTTTGCCTTATTTATTTATTTTGAAGTTCTGTAACTAGGTACATACAAGATTAGGTGCTTTTGTGTGAAGTGGTTTTTTTTTTATATATATAGAAGCCACACTTTTTCATAACACAGTACTATAATACATTGATAATAAATGGTCAAAACCATGTGGTGCTTCTCATAGACAAGCAGGAATGCCTTGTAAGTAACTGTCAACTACTCTGGATAAGCATTAATATGTTCAGTTATTTTTACCAGTTCATATGGCACACATCAGCCTGAGTTCTCTGGTTAATAATAGTAGAATCTTGATTTGAGCATAAAACAGTCCATTATCTTAAATACTACCTAATCTATTGAGTATGCTCTGGGAACTATTGTGTAAGTATTTGCTCAGTTGAAACATTCTCTTCTATAGGAGAAAAGGATGCCCTAAATGACATTGGAAAAGGAAGCTAATGAAACAAGAAACTCATCAAACCTTCAGGACTCAAAATGTTCAAGGGCCATCCTCCAGGATATGAATAGTAAATAATTACTGCTCAAGAGAATGTTTGTGTGTAGAGTTTCCAATAAATTGAGAAGGGAGCCCCACGGATACAGCTACATTGTTGGGGTAGTGTTTTTTGGTGTTACAGATGCCTTTGAGTCATCCTTACTTCAGTAAGTAACCTTCAGGAATTCATTAGTTTGCCAAGCCAGGCTTGATGAAGTTCTTTCCTTGAGCTGGCTCTGGTGCCCTATTTTATATCTCCACCGACAGTCACACAACACAAACAGGGCACTCATACAGGGACAGACACAACTAAAGATGTCTTTGGGTGGAGGAGTAGCCACATTAGCTCTGAATGGGATTTGAGATGTACAGCTGAAGCTGATCCTTGTGCAGGTGGAGTATCCTTTTGGGCAGTCCTGAGAAGGGAATCCCATGTGGTAGGAGATAGTATGGCTCCTTGCTTTAGTGGTAGTTTTATGCTGTCTGATATCGATGATAAGATGTGCAACCAAGGCAGAACCATCTGAATATGGAGTATCTCCAGGGTAACTGAATTTAATTTCTGTGGCTGTGATAAAACACAAAAAAAGCTACTTAGGGGAGGACAGGATATATTTTATCTTGCACTTCCAAGTCACAACCTGTTATTGAGGGAAGTTAGGGTAAGAACTCTAAGCAGAAACCATAGAGGAATGCTTCTTGTTCACTTCCTGGTTCAACCATAGGATCATGTTCAACTAGCTTACATAACTAAGGACCACCTCCATATGTCCCACTCAGTAAGTAGGCCCTCCTCTGCCAATTAAGACATCTCCCAACAGGCCAATTTGATGTAGGCAATTGCTCAAATGAGGCTCTCAAGTCTGATGACTTGAGTTTGTAAAGTTGACCGTTAAAGCTAATTAGGACAGTCTTTCTCTTCCTGGGATGAGGTGACATACCTTATTGGAGTCCACTACAAAAGCATGGCTGTGCTAGTTAGTAAAAATGCCAATGGATTTGAGAACATAGAATTCCCAGTAGTGGTACTCTGGGACTATATTGTAAGCAGCTTGTGACAGTTGTATGCCCTTTTGTGTGGTTGATGAGATATACCAGACTCCACTGTTGCCTGTAAAGAACTTGTACATGTAATGGGAAAATTGCAAGGAGAAAAACAATACTATTCTTCATACCAAGACAGTTTACACTGTCCATCCATCTTTAGGAATGCTATTCCTTTCTTTTCATTTTTTTTAAAATAAAAATATTTGTAATTAATTTATTCCTTTATTATACTTTATTCACTTTGTTTCTCCACTGCAGCACCCCCCATCTCCTCATAGTCCCACCCACCCTCCTTCTTTTCCCCCTATACCTTTTCCTAGTCCCATGAGAGGGGAAGGCCTCCTCCCCTTCTATATAACCCTAACATATCAAGTCTCCTCAAAGGTGGCTGTATTGTCTTCCTCTGTGCCCTGGCAAGGCAAAAACAAAAAGAGAAAAACACCAGGGCCAGACAGTTTCAGAACAGAATTCTACAAGACCTTCAAAGAGGGGCTAACACCAATACTCTTCAAACTATTCCACAAAATAGAAACAGAAGTAACATTACCAACTTCATTCTATAAAGCCACAGTCACCTTGATACCTAAGCCACACAAAGACCTTACAAAAGAAAAGAAAAGAAAAGAAAATCAGGCCAATTTCTTTATGAACATTGACACAAAATACTCAATAAAATACTTGCAAAATGAACCCAAGAACACATTAAAGATATTATACACCAAACCAAGAAAGCTTCATCCCAAGCATGCAGATGTAGTATTTTTCATTCTGCTGGTCACTTCACACTGAAGTTCCAAAACTACCCTCTGTGACACACTGCAGAAGTACAGAAGTACATTTTCTTTGTGCAAGAACACTAGCTGTTTATACATGGACACAAACCATCCAGCAATGCATAGAACATATTTCATAGAAAAAAACATTGTCATTACAGGCTGATGAAGTCCAAGTTATATTTCTCCAAACAGATATAAACTGGTAGTTAACAAGTTTCCATAGGGCATCAAGTTATGTGAGATCCTTGCCAACCTGATCTACACAATAAGTTCAGGACAGCCACAGTTCTGTTACACAGAGGATGTAATTGTTAAGAAAAAAAAAAGAAAAGAAAAAAGAAAGAAAGGAAGGAAGGAAGAAAGAAAGAAAGAAAGAAAGAAAGAAAGAAAGAAAGAAAGAAAGAAGAAAGAAAGAAAGACAGAAAGAAAGAAAGAAAGAAAGAAAAGAAAGAAAGAAAGAAAGAAAGAAAGAAAGAAAGAAAGAAAGAAA